GAAGAAAAGTGACAGGTCTTGCTAATTAGGTGCTCCACGTGACTGGCAATGTGGCACTAGGTCTGGCTGGGAAAAGATAACGTGAGACATTGTGCGTTTACATTTTTCAATTTGCAAGTTACCAGTGAAATTGGAACAGACGCCAGTTACAAACTGCAAAATAAGCATTTGCTTGGTGCCTAATGACCTTAATCCTTCAGTATGGGGTTTGCAAAGTCATCCTTCTAATGAATTTCAGCAAAAAAAAAACACTTACAAATACACAAACTTAATATATCTCCAAAGGTGCTTGTGTAATATTTCAGATTGTTGTGTTTTCCCAGAATGTTTACATAAGGAAAGTGGAGCTGACATTTGTGAAATATACAGTACAGTAATTGTAGCTGGGGCTGACCAAAGGCTTTGAGGAAAACGTTTGATCTAGTTTATCCAAAAAAGAAAAAAAATCAGTTACAGTTGTATGGAACAGGTGAAAGTCAAGGGCTTGGTTATAAGTGTTGCACTTTTCTATATCCTATCCCTTGCAGTAATTTAATTAAACCCCTTAATTAGGCTATCTGTCAGCTTCGTTAGACCTCTTTAATTGTTTTTCAGCTCCTGAACAGATGCGGATGACAAGTGACGTATTAAATCTTGAAAACAATTAAAGGCTTCCAATTAAGCAAATTATTCAACCAATTAAGGTTTCGATTAAGGAAGAGCCCAGGACTTGATGTATATGAAATGCAGAAGAGGGCAGCTCTTACTTAGTACTGCTGTTTCAGTTTGAATACCTCAGCATTGCCATTAGTTTCCGCATAAGTCTATGGGTGCTCCTGGTCCTGGTCCTGGCAATCCAGTGCTGGTTTTCATTCCAACCCACCCTTAGCTTAGCCCAGAAGAGATCATGACTGGCCTAAGGGGACCGATTCAACCACCAGCTCTTTAGGTGCTTTTAAAAACCCCGCAGGCCCCCTAGGACCACAATTGCCCATTTATGCTTGATTTTTTCCCGTTTCTTTCTCAAACAAAAAGAGCAACTTCCCCACCCCCTCATTGAGGAAGCCTCTGGGGATCCCCCCCCCCCACTTTAAAACTCCGCAATTACCCCAGCCAGTTTAATTAGCTAATAGGATTGTTTTAGCTCGGAGAGAAGCAAGGAGAGCCCTGGGATAAAGAGAGAAAGGCGGCGAAGGCCAGCCGCCTGGGATCAATTACTTGAGGAAGTCTTTGTTCGTCTGAGAGGGGCGGACCCCTCGGTTTAGCAGAATTGAATCTCCGGGCTTGAAGCTGCGCCGAAACGATACGTTGCTGAAGGGGAACTGGGT